CCCCCCCCTTTTCAAAATTTAGAATATGACTTTAGACAGAATATTTTTTGAGCACATGCATCTGATACCGCAGATTAAGAAGCTGCAAAAGAAAACCCCAACAAAACAAAACAAAACAAAACAACAAAACAATAAAAGCGTTGGGCTTAGCACATCTGAACAGCGGGCCTACGATCTAAAAAACAAAACAAAAACAAGACAAAAAATTTATAAAGTCCAAAACAAAATTCCAAAACAAACAACATATTATCGCGCTTTGGTCGAGGTCTTAGAGTAAGCGCCAACACAAGCGTCTGTGGTGTAGCGGTTAGACACTTCGCCGTAGCACAAAGGAGACAGGAGTTCGATTCTCGAGTGGGAAACTTTAATTTTTTATCGAGTATCTCGGCGGTATGTATGCTGGGACTTTGCATCCCTCTCGGCTAAGTAGGGTTTGGCCAAGTAGAATCCTGCCCTGTAAATGATCTAAGTTGTGTTAATGGGGGAGTTTACCACAAAAAACCCAACAACCAAACAACAAAATAAAACACAAGAAAAAAAGAAAGTAAAAAAGAAAAAAAAAGAAGAGAGAAAAATCTGATGGCACCGTATGGAATGGTTAAACGCTGTTAGGTAATGTAAGCAGCTGGGCTTCTGAGTCAAAAGTCCTTCTCTTCGATATCACAAAGCCCAGTCGGAAGAGAACCTAAACAAGTCCCCAAACTACTCAATTTCACACCCAGTGCACACTGTCAATCGAATTCAGTCGAACTGCGTCGTAGCCATCCAGCTTTTCTTTTTTTGAGGGTCAAAACGTACTATTTTGGCGCAGTTCGACTGACTTCGACTGGCGACCTTAAGAAACAAACGCGTTTCGTTTTGAATGTCACAATCAATAAATTTAGTCGAATTCAGCCGAACTGGGTCAAAATGGTACCTTTTCCCTAAAAGGAGAAAAATTTTGCTGACCCCGACTAAATCAAATTATAAATTCGATAAGAGGTGTGCACTCGGTATAAAGTCCACTCTGACTGTGGTTCGAACTTATGTCAATCGTTCCGAAGTCGAACATGTTACTGACCGAGTTACTGGTTCGTCAAAACTATTCGGTGAGTATCAATACTCGTATACTTGTTGAGTCAAGTCAAAGATCGTACATAACAAGATAGTTCACTTGGCCAAAAAAGTGTCCGCGGAAGTCCGCGCATTGTTCAGATGGCGCTGCAGTCTTTGATTTGAATCTCTCTTTTGTTTCTCCAGAAGAAGAATAGGAATAGCACAATTTGTTTTTTAGTTTCGCTTTTATTGTTTTTCACACAGGTGGGGTAACTCTGATCACAAAGTCCTCACTATTTCGAAGAGGGCGCCACCGGATTTTAAAGACTCTTTTTTAATTAGCTCAAAGATAGGAGTGGACTATCTTGTTATGTACGATCTTTGGTAAAGTGCAGATAGAGTATTTGGCATGTATAGGATGATGTGTTGAGTCAATTCTGTGTAGAAGGATATGCAAACATCTGTGTATAAAGCATCTTTCTGGACATTTCTATAATGCTCAGCACCCACACTCTGCCAGATCGTATTTCAGTCAGCCTACAGATTTTATAGTCGCTAGCAGAAACATCATATCTGGCTCTGGGAAAACGAGACTTTAAAATGACGTAAGCACTTACTAAGGGAAGCTGGTGTTTCTAGAGGGTCGGGGAGAGAGACAGCAGCCTGCGTGGAAAAGCCAAAAGAATATCCAACCAGCTGTTAACTGGCACGATCAGCAGGCAGACCCTTTTAAGGATCATGGAGAGGAGGGAGGAGCAGCTACCGCATTGTGCCGCCTGCAATGAAGCCTATTCTCCAACTAAGTAAGTAAGTAAATAAGTAAAAAAGCACTTATGGAGTGAAGCTGATGATGAAGGGTTTTGAATGTATTCTGTCATTTGTAATTTCAGTATACAATGACTTTTATGAAAAGTCAGGATATGTACGGTTCGGGAATGATACCAGTAATACCAGTATTATTTTTTTGGTGCCACTCGGGAATGTACACAACGCCAGGATAAAGGAAGTACACAACAATGAGTAAAAGTAGACTTAGACCCCCACACCACCCGCCTTTCAAACTCACTTTTAGCCAAGTACACACATACAGTCTCTCTGCTCTAAGTACAACCACATTTGGGTCACCATGAAGTCAAGCTCGAAAGAAGCTTTTTTAAAAATGTAACATAATTTAAGACTGGGGAGTCGAAATGTACTTTTACCCAACATTGTATATTTTCCCTAGTGACAAACGAGAGTATCACTCTGTATATCACAACTACACGGCTGGTTATTAACAAATCAATCTCGGGCAGATACAACCGGTACATTTGACCAGCTGCTGCCTTCACAAAAACATTGTACTAAACTAATGTACGAGCTCTATAGGTTTAACGCCCGTTTCAACACTGTGAAGTTATTCAGGAGGCGAGACTTCCGAAGTTGGCCTCCATTTTTGATTGAACTGAGCCAGAAGCGAAGAGAGGCTTAAAAACTTCTCCCCACAAAACCCAAATTGAAAACGTCAAGTAGGGGATTCGAACCAGGTCCATCCGCTCTCTCGTCCAGCATGATACCAGTTGAGCTAACAATGCGTCCTCAATGTCTAATCAAGATCATACCCATGCACCTTTTTACAGATGTAAAGTTTGAGTCTGTAGAGTCCAAAGAAGGCGAACTGTAACAGAGGTATGGCGACAACAGCAAGGCCCACGGTCACTGCAAAAGCGATACCAGGTTTGTTCCAGTCCAGTATCTCATAGACCACGTGATTTTTGTGATCTGTAGACCAGTAGATGACGCTGAAGATGATGTAGACCAGTCCGTAGATGATGGGAAGGTAGGCGTGAAGGAGCCTCACAGGTCTTGCGCTGATGAGGTGGTCAACGACGACGAAGACAAAGTTGAGAGCGTGGACGTTCAAGTCTTGCAGGCCCACAGACGACTCATTTTTGTTCTGCTTGGGGTAGATCGCGACAAAAAAGATGATGGTCACTACTGGAGCGGCGCAGGTGATGAAGTTTGACAACACCCAGGATAGTTTGAAATACCACGCCGTCGACAAAGAAGTGTCGTTTCCGAACACAATTTCGTGCTCACCTGGCGTTGGTGATTTCTTCTTCGACCCATCCCCGATGACCACGCCGCCGTTATGTCCGTTCTCTGCTGTGTGTCCGTCCTTGCCCCCGTTACTGATGGTGGAGATGGCGTTCCTGTTGGTCATGGGGACCCCGGCCTGTTTCTCGGAGTCGTCTCCCTGTATGCCTTGTCGGCCGGGTCTGGGGGTAAAATAAAATGGTTAAATGTTATTGTTTTAAGGCTCCTATCAACGCTATTGGGTTATCTAAATGGGGCAGGGACCTCCGAGTTAAACGTCTGTCTCGGAAAGGACCGAGACAAAATGGGAAATTTGTGTAAAGTACCTTTCCGAAGGACACAACGTCGGACCGAGCTGGGGCTCGAACCTCCAAACCTGCAATCTCACGATTACAAGTCTGGTAGCCTAAGCACTAGGCTTCTCCCGCGGGTACTAAGAGAGAGCATGAAACAAATCATACATAATGAAAAAATGTAGGGTTTCTATACGCCCCCATTGACACAATTTAGTTCATTTAGGAGACGGGCTTCCGAACTGGCATGTAAGGGCCAATCCAGTCAGAGAGGGATGCAATTATACCAGCAGAAAGACTGAAGACTGAAATATCCCCCCACCCCCCAACCCCCCCCCAAATTAAAAAAAAAATTACTTCCCCACTGGTGAAATCGACCTCGGATCTCCCGCGTGCAACAGCAGAGCGCGTAGCCACTACACCACTGACGCCGGAAATAGACACAAAGATGGATAGAGGAGGTCAGAAAAACTTTAACCCTATCCGTACACCCTCTTCACATTCTTCACATTTTATCATACTTTTAGTGCGAAAATCTCTTTGAAACTTTCGGTATTTCTCAAAAAAATATTTTGACAGACTGCTATGCAAGGCGTACGGATTGGATTAACGAGTTAATGGCCTCTTCGGAAAATGGTCGCTCAGAGTTCCCCAAGTCGTATGGATACAATAGCAAAACACGACGTATGGATAGGGTAAAGTAAAAACCAATAATATACCCATGTGACAGTCGGTACAACAAACGAGAGACAGACGTTTGTTTTTTTCCTCGACATCGGGTAGAACCAGAGGCCGGTGAGCTAATAAGTAAGTTTGTAAGTAGGTTAGTAAATACGTTTGTAAGTAAGTTTGTAAGTTAGTAATAAATTCCACCTAATTGATTCCCGTGATGAAATTCACGATGATGGTCTTTTAGAGCAGGGAAATAGCAAGACAGACAGACTGACAGGAACAAGAGACGGAAAGAAAAGAACAGAACCGCAGGGCCTGGTTATTTTATCATTTGTGGTGGTGGTGGTGGTGGTGATGATGATGATGATGATGATGATGATGATGATGATGATGATGATGATGATGTTGGTATTGGTGATGACGTAAATATATAATACTAGCCCAATACAGAAAATCGTATATTTCTTCATATATAAGAAAGGTGACGCTTTGTAAAATTAGTACTACTTTCCCTGAATGGGAATCGAACTCACGTCCCTTGAGTGCAAAGCGAACTGATAAACTATCACGTCACTTTGCACTGGTTAGGGCCAACCCCTTCCCCACTCCCACTAACTCCCACTCGAATGACCAAAATCGCATTTCAATGAATGAAAACATCAGGGTTGATCAACAGGAAAGTCTTCACCGGTTCTTATCAGTCGTCGTGGGCAACCCTTTCCTGACAACGATGTTTACATTAGACAGGAGTGGAACCCGCAGACGTGTTATGATGTCATAGATCGCACACGCTAACCTATTTCTGTTTCACTGTAGAGTGCACGATTTGGCTCAGTGTAATTGGAAACTAGTACAGTATTTATACTTATTATAGTGCGGTCAAAAATTCGTGGGGTAACTTATTGTCAAATAATATCTCCTCAACTATCGAACATTAACTCTCCAACTTTTGTACAGCGGCTTGTGTCTATTTGTCTTAACAGATCATTATTTGGTAAACACCTGTTACTTCTATTCTAGAAAATTCCCTTAAAAAAAAAAAAAAAATTTAAAACACCCGTTGGGTGGTTTCTATATATTTTAAAATGTTTACAGCTGGGACAATACCGCTTTTAAAAGCAAGTCCGTCATTTTCTTTTTTAATAGCTAGATTATCTTTATTGAACGCGTGTTTTGAGAGCTTTTAGAACAAAAATGTGTTTACTATAAAATTAATTTCTTGTAATTAGTTTTGCCACACTAAAAAGGTGTCATTGCTAAGCTGTGATGTAGGCCATGCGCACGCAAAAGGTATGTGAGAAGCGGGAAGTGCTGTGAACAATTTCATTTTTCGCGTTAAGGAGATTTTGTAGTATTTTATATAACTTTATGAAGAAAAGTTTTTTAACCTAACCTCAATTGTTGTGGGAGAATATGATTAAATTAAGACAAATTGATACAAACTGCTGTGCAAAGTATGGGTGACATTGATTTAACCGTTAAAAAGATATTTGAGGATAAGTTGCGTCACGAATTTTTGACCGCACTGCAATACTACTTTGCGGACACTCGACTACAGTAACTGTTCAGCCAATCTGGTGTTTTGCTCATCGTCTGGGCGTCATGGCGCGAAGCATAGTGAGCCAGAAGCTTTGGTGCAAAGTTTTTATATAGAGGTAAGAGAGGTGGCTATGGTAGTGTGCGGTCTATGAGTATGTTATATCTATGGGGTAACCAAAGAGGGACCACGGGGTCACTAGGTGATTCATTTCGTAATGTCTAGTAAGGACAACTCGACATAACCGTTGGTGTCTGTCTGCCCGTCTGTCTGTCTGCCTGTCTGTCTGTCTGTCTGTCAGAAAGTCTGTTTGTCTCTCTCTTTCGCACTCTCCCTCCTCCCACCCCCCCCT